GCTGGCAAATCATTCAAAACAGAGCAGTGTTGTTTGATAGTTTTATCAAAATTGAAGACAAAAAATAAACAAAGGAAGCGTGAGGAAAATAAAACATACAAAGCGGGAAAACCTGCACATAAAACCTCGTCCTCGTCCTCGCAATGAAGTGTTTGAGCAAGAACGAGAGAGAAGCATTGTGTACTTATATTAGTAGTCGAAAATCAGATGCCACAAAAATATGATACATGTAATTTATGTTTCTGCTTATTTTTAACGCAATGATGACACAGCTAATTGGTGCGGATAAGTTTTCATTGTAGTGAGGAAAAAAATTATGGAACAATGGAGATTCTACGTCCCGTTACGGAACCATTCAGTCGAATTTGTAATCATTAGATCAACTATCCACAATGATGATCTAACGATTACAAATCTCAACGGAATGGTTCCAGGACTATAATATTTCCTAGAACCATGCTTGTGTATATATTTATTAGCCTACATTATTATTTTCACGGATAAGTATTCATAGTTTTATTATAGAATGTTGTATTTTAATAAAATAATATAAATAAACAAAAACATGATGTTTGATAGTTTAAATATGATTTTTGTTTAAATAGTTTGATGGATTAACCAAGGACTTTTCTCACATAAAAAATTGTGTATTCGTTTGAAATAAAATTTGGCAAAAGGGGGCGGAGTAAATTTTCAAATCTGAGAAAGAGAATTTATCAGGGCAAAGAAGAAGGCAAAGCGGCGTGAAACAACTCAACAAGGAGTCTAAGTTTACGGTTTCTCGATGTTATGATCAAAACATTATAGGTTTAGTGCGGGAGGAGTGCTACGTGATTATTGGGGTCAGTGGATAACGGAATTTATTATGAACATAGGGTATTGCTCCATTACAGGAGCGGAACTATGGGGACTTTTTCAGGGATTAAATCTTGCATGAAATTCGGGACATCGAAAGGTCATAGCGGAAGTCGATAGCCTTTGTGCGTTCTCAATGATAAGTGATGGGCGAGAGGAGCATGGGGTCCATAGCTCGTTGGTGAGGTCCATCAGAGAACTCTTGACGAGAGCATGGTTGGTGAAACTAGTGCATGGATATCGTGAATCTAACTTTGTTACCGATTGTATGGCCGGCGTTGCTGCACGTAGCCCGAGAGGTTTGCAACTATTGGATGCGCCGCCAGTTGAAGCTCGACAGTGGCTACATCATGATGCTATCGGGGTCTCTTACCCACGGAATGTTCTAATCTCTAGCACCTAGGCTTTTGCCTCTCTTCTCTGTACCAAAAAAAAAAAAAAAACATTCTAGATTTGGTAAAACCTCTTTTACCCACGATGGACATTGCTGGTTTTCAATCACATATTTTTACATTACATTAGTTTTAGTCATTATTAAAAATCATTATAGTTTTAATAGTATTTAATTACAAAGTCAAAATTAGCGAATATATTCAAAACAATTCACTTAACCAATCAAATTCAACTATGGCCGATTGGATTCATATCCAACGACGCCCCAAATAATTGAATTTCGCTATAGGAAAAAAAAAAAAAAAAGATTAAATACACGAATGTGCCAATGGGACTCGACCCGCCAGTTCAAGTGTCTCCATTCCCTTGGCAATTTTGTCTGTCAAGCAATTTTGATTTAAAATTGTCCGTTCCTAGTCATGGCCACGGTTTGGAATCGCCCCGACAGTGGTTCATGATTTTTAGAAAAATCGAATCACCAATTTTGGTTTTGAGTCGGGCTCAATAATTAGGTGAAGAAATTCTATTTAGAATATAATTATTTTTTTATTTTATATCTTTTTTATTTTAATTTTCTCCTGGACCAACCCTAAATCACTGGACTAATTTTGAATTGAAACCACCAATTCAATGAACTAGGATGGTGTTAATCCCGAGTCGGCCTTGTTCAACAAAAAAATCAACCAACGGTTCAAGTCCAGAACTGGCTCGGCCCGATCAGACTTTTGGCCATGTCTAACCTTTCCAATTTCATCGGCTATAGTTTTATAAATTTTCAACCGTTCGGGAGAAATTGTGGACTAATCTGAACTAACCCATCTAATGTAAGGGCAGGGCTCAAGTTTGGGCCCGCAACCGTGTTCGATCGATAGTTCCAAGTCTATCTATTACTATATAATTAGGCAACTCACTTACTAAAAATAGAAGTTTTTTTAGTGGGTCTCTCATTATATTACTATTTATAGAAAGTTAGTTCCAATTTTTTATTATTTATTAAACGTGCTTCAACCTCTGTTAATTATTTTTTTTTTATTTTTAATAATAGGTTAATAGTCAAAGTGGACCTAAATTTGTTATTACCATTTGTAGGTAGGCGTTTTAAAATGTTTTGTCTGTTTTGATTTCTCATTAATATAAAAGTAAATTTCTTTTTACATGTGCATGATATGTTGAATCACGGTGAATTATTTATGATGTATGTTAAATAATAATTTATATTTAAAGTCTTCCTAAAAATATGAAGATACTAGGCAATAATATGGTACTTATTTAAATAAAAGAATAGTTCACAAATAAATAAATTGTAAGTATATGTATAGAAAATAATAGTTAATAAATGAGATTACATTATAAATTATAAAACCAGACAAGTAAGAAATAATATATTCAAGTGTCAAAATACGATCTAAATTACATGATAAATTCAAGCAAACTGTAATAAAATGTGGTAAGATAATAAAATAATTTGAGAATTTTCTTACATCCCAACTATATATATTTGCGCATTTAGTACATGATGTTCCAATTAAATCAATTTAGTTACTCAACTTTTCGTTTATGAATAAATTTTGGTCCACATCGTT